GTTGCAAATATAATAAAAGAAACATATAAACCGTTATCAGTGTTTTATTTGAACTTATAAAATATATTATTTTTCATATGGTTGAAATTGAAAAAATTAGATTGTGACGTGTGAGACATTCTAATCGCTAAGAGCAAAGAACTCTGTGGATGCCTGTTCAAACCCTGCGCGCGTCATCCATTTTTTCGGTCTAAATAGACAATGTTTTTAATTTGATTGAAGACGTAAATACATTACAACTTCTCATCGTGAGATCTGTAGATATATGTAGATATTGAAAAATCTTTTAAAAGTATACTAAGCAGAAGTACAGACTTTTAGGATCAAATCATTTCATCCATTCGGATAAACGGGCATTACACAGCTCTCCGAAAGAGCTCCGCTCGCGAACAGCCAAATTGACACGTTTGACTGCAAAGCAGCGTTGTATAATAATAAATATCAATTCGACGTGACAAATTGTAAAATTGCCCTTTAAAAGAAATATGAATGTGTCCGAGATACAGTCACAATATGTCGGCAGTCGTCATTAGCCGTTCGCACTCCGTCAGTTATTTCACACATTTAAATGGGAATTAATCTGGCATTGTGCTCTTTTAGGCTCCGGTCTGCTATAAACGCAATATATAGTATAAAGCTTAACGCTTTACGCCTTATCAAGAAACTTGCTAATAGAATTCTTATCTAAATGAGTGAATAACAAAGGTTCGTGTCAAATTTGATGTTTACATTGCAATGATTCCAAAAATCTAAAGCCAAAATAGGACGATAGCGTATCTTAGATGTTATATGGCTGGGGTATTTCATCTCCCATCACGTCAAAACGCACGCTTGTCTGTCCTTCTCTATATAAAAAAAATAACTTGAGACTCGACGTAAATCGTTATTAACCTCTACAGGACCACAAGATGGCTGAGACTAAATATGCGAATACAACACAACATTTAGCTATTTTGGGTGAAAAGTAAAATAATATCACTAGAATAGCAGGGTGTATAGATTTCCTATAATTTGCGTTTTATTTCTTAAAAAAATATCGATTGAATATTTCCCAAGCTTGTTTTACCGTGTGAAAGAGACAACAGTACGTTCATTTCTACAATAGTAAGCGATATAGCATACCTACAGCGTTTGTAGCAGACCGCAGCCTTAATGTTAATACTTCGTATTGACAATGTGCTCGCTCTTTGATTCATTAGTGGTGGGGCGAACGACCGCTGCATAAAGGATCTGCATCCATTCGTTCCGTCAATGCACCTCCGCTGACCTTCGCGCTAACGAGTCATCTTAGGATAATGATCGTACTCAAAGGACTACGAATGACAAGGAAATAAACGCGAAGCTAAATCCATTTATTATAATTTTTACATTCCCGGTGGTTTGTTTTGTGCATCGGAATGCCTTGCGCTCGGCTTGCACTGAGGAATTCATATGGCCAGCGTGTTAACATATTTTGCGAATGCGACTTCGTTTAACTATTTGTCTTATTCAGTTTTCATACAATATGAGGCCGCTAGAGGCAGAGTAGCCTAACCACAATTTTATGACTTGTATTATTTATATTTTCATAGTGTAAAAATGTTAATCTACAAGAGCCGAAAATTGTTAACATAATTCTTACACAAGTAATAGGACAAATTAGTTTTCGTCTAATTTAATTGCGCATGTTTGTTTTTACTCCTTATTGAAAATCGTGTTTTTGCTTTTAGGCCACTCTGCCTCTAGCAGCCTGCATATATGCTACATACTTACGTCGAATACGGATATTACCTTCGCGGTTTTTACTTATTAGTGGCCCACAGATGGACATGTCCATCTCCATCATAGAATACAAAGTTATCTAAAACGTTGACCCATCACACAACTCCAATGCAATGGACTTTAACGCTAAATTCTTACCACTAAATTAGTGACAGTTTAACGTTCTCTCCAAGACTTTTCATTGTTTACCCAATATTATGCCTGGACACTAGCAACACTTATTGGTGGCGATACTCCGGTACATAAATTCTGAATATCAAATTGACATTTTGCCCGATCCGGGATACGAGTCCTGGGCCGTGCGATCTACGTTCCAGACGCCAATATGTAGGAACCACTAGATACAAACGTAACATGTAGCTCGCGATTAAGAATGAATTGTAATTGGTTTTAAATTCCCTAATTTGGTAATCAATCTCTATTATTTCTGTTGTCTTCCTCCTTAATACCCCCTTCGTCACTTGACCCGTTGACCAATTCGCGAATATCGATAACCCAAATAAGAACGGAGCACCCGTCCTCGATACGCCCGCCACTTGAATAACTCGGGCTCAATTTGTCTTCCTTAACAGGTACATTTTTAAAATGAGGAAATTGTTATTCATGCAAATCTAGCTTTACACGAGCTGAAACTGAATCCTAAACGCGTCTCATAAATAATCGAGGCTGCGCTACGTAAGCTTGCAAAAACAAAAACACGGAAGTCACCTTACGGTTACATAATGTTATGTAAAATCGTTCAATTAAATCAAAGTAATTAGTATGAAATTATTAAATATTTGAGCGAATAAATCTAAAATAGGTCGACAGCAGATAGTATTATATTGACGATGACGTGTATGACTCAGAACTCAGTTGGTTAAAGCAACAGCACGGAACGATGCCGGTTCAAGTCCTGCCCGAGTCGTAATTTTTTTTAAATTTCGAATTTTAGAATCGATTTTAAATTCTGAAACAAAGAATAAATATTTTTTTAACTTTAAACTTATTCACGCTTTAATTAGCTTAAATTGGTTTTACTTATGTGAACTATTGTCGTGCTATTGACTATTTATACCAATTATAAATTCAGGTAATTAGTATATACATTACATTTATAACATAACTTATAATATGTGAACTAGGGCTGTTTCAAAGCCTTTAATTGATGAATATTATTCCTGTATCAGTATTAATCGTGTCTTAGGGAAAGTACTCGTATAATAATAGTGGTGATATTAAGTATGCGATCTATAAGCAATGAATAATAAAAAATTAGATCATTCGAAAAGTCTAAACAGTGGAATATTATGAATGACTCCGGCATTCGAAATTTTCCACAATTCGTATTCTGTCTGGAGTATTCGCCTCGTTGGATCCCGTAGTTCCGATGCAGGTCATTTTAAATGCAAAGACAGCGCATTGCATAATCACCAATGTGATTCGCTATCGGTATTCACTTATTAAATATTTATCTTGAGGTGCTCACGCTGTCGTCAAGTCTTGAACGTTCTGTTAATTGTCTCAGTCTCGTGATTCTTCGATTAATGTAAATAAAAAAATTTAAAGGTTTAAAACGCGAAATATATTATTTAAACTTAGTTAAAAATTAATTTAAATGCGGCCCGTCGTTTCGATGACTACGCATCTCATGCGCAGAATATTATTTGTAAATTGGAGCGACATAACCTAGTAAGGTTAAAACCTATTAAATAAAGATAAAAAAGGAATAGAAGATTTCCCTCCATTGTGATAATATTATTTTAATTGCCATTGAATGGCCATAACTATTGTATATTGATTTTATATTATTTACCACATTTTACACGTCATGTACACGAAGTATAAAGAATTGATGGATTTTTTTAAATATGTATGCAGGTATTCTATAATTTATCCAAAATAAGAATCTCCTTTGGTAGGTAGAACATCGAAACTATGCGCTCTTGATACGAATCTCGTGTGTAATTTTAAACCCTTTAATTTTAAACTTCCAGAGTTCATCTAGGTACATTCGGCAATTGTGATACTAGCTAATAAGGCTTTTTTTATAAAATAATGTGTTAGACTATTTGTTTTACTTTAATAATGACATCGCGATGTACGTGAACGCAGGTGACATCTAGTTACTTCCACAAACAACAAATTATTGACTTATCTAACACCCTTATTAACTTTTAGTACTAAACCTCAACCGCACTGGCTAGCAATAATAAATATAAGTGATATTTCTAATGACGTTAACAAAACCCATTTTCTTCTCATCCATTGCTTCCTTAATTACCATTAGATTACTCAAAAGTCGCATATCATATTATCCCCGGATTAAATAACTGTGCCTGACGTCAGCGATCATTAATTTACACCTCACGAACTGGAACGTGTTATCAATTTTTTCTTATATTCAGAAGCCAGCATCGATTTGATTTTAATGTAAAGACAGATCGGGCAATAATTAAGTCGGCTTGATGAGATCGCGGTGGCTCGGCCGAAGTCATTACGGCTATATGTAGAGGCGAGATGTTTTTTTTTTAATTTGTTATTATTCTCTGGCGTAAAGAAATGTTAATTCGAGGCGGCGTGAAATTAACAGCCGCCGCGATGCCTTTGTGGTGTCGGCGGCTGACTTAAACACACAACGGGCGACGAGCTCTCATGCTATAGCTCTCTTATTTGCACTTCATTATGACTTTTTGTATTAGATTCTCAGCGAACAGTTGTTAAAGATCCATTTACGATTGTGCGTTACTTTACGTCAACACTTGTTTTTAATACATCTTCTAGTTCTAGAAATTAGTGATGTTAACGTGTTTCTTTCTCTGAACAACCTTTTTTAACTGTTTTTTTAATGATGACATATCGTCCGCCTTCGTCGGGCACCTGTGACGTAAATGAGTGAGGAAAATCGTACTCTTCGGAAGAGAGAGTCGATCAGAACCACTAAACACACCAACAGCCTACGGTGCTTTCGAGGGAACCCTGGGAATACGTTGCTACGATTTCGAAGGGTTTTTTAGCACTAAAAACCTCTAATTTGAAAAAAGTATTTTCTGTTTTTAAGACCACACTTCTTGTCATTAATTCTACAATCTTACGTATCAATGATTTGTGATTTTTTGGTAATGTTAATTCATCGATCAATAAATCGACACAAAATTATGTCTGCCCTTCGTCCTACTTAGACGACTCAGTCACTTACTTTTTATATTAAGTTAATACCTAACATTAATAGTTTGAACATATTTATTTATTTGTTTCAGTGGTACCAGGTCGACAAGACGAAGCTGTCGCCGGAGCTTGAAGAAAAGTTCATCCAGCTGTATCCAGATAAAGAAACGCAAGATTTCCTCTCCACCTCCATCGATAAATCTTCATGGGTTTGGACTCAACTCTGGTACATAATCGCCAAGTCCTTCCTCAGGCATTTCTGGACTACTACAGATATCAATGGGTAAGTTTTTTTGCTCTTAGACTAACGCGATATTGGTATGCAATTTCAATTTTATAAACGTCATAAATTTAAACAGTAGTTTACTTAAATACTGTCTGTAGTTTACGGGAGTAGTACACATTTTAAAAAAACAATTAACGGTTTAAAACGCGATATATATTAGTTAAAATTATTTGAAAATTATTTTTACTACGGCTCGATGTTTAGTCTCCGTGACCACGGCTGCTGCACAGCAATCGTCGGGCCGTAGTAAAAATAATTTTCAAATAAGTTTTACTAATATATATCGCGTTTTAAACCGTTACAGTGTTTTATATAAATGAGTAGCTACTTGCTGATATATTTTACTTTTTTAAAGCTCCGCTTAAAATAAAGGGTATTAATAATATAATATAATTGTAAATTACTTATGTAGGATGCTTTTCACTTAAATACTAATGAGCCCCAACGATTCTGATATAACAAATATCAAAGTCTCATCAGATAAAATAACCTGTATTCGAATTTAAAAGTAACAAATGATTTCTTTCACAAGCGATGAGTCGCCATTTGAATCACGACAATGGGCCATTATTAAGTTCGTACAGATTCGTCCAATTACGCCAATTACAATAAGCCTGTAGATAGATATTTATGTACGAGTGTATTATTTCCTCATCCATTGTGTCGTATCTGCACAAATTAACTAATTCCACTCGCCACTAGTGTTGCTGAGCGTTATCGATAAAATAGAATTCCGTATCTGAAAAAAAAAATACGAACAGACAGTAACCGCTTGTTGTTTAAAATCGTTTTTATTAGCAAACATAAAAATTTTAAACGCCCAACTAAATACAGGGTTGCGCTTGCTACATTGTTTTATTTATGTAGTCAGCCTTATTCCTTTTTAACTGAAGTTTAAAAGCCTATTTTGATCAAATGGCTTATTATATAAGAAATAGACTATTGAAAAGCTAGCAGGAGACCCTTTTCACAATAATCTTAATGCAATCAGTAAACATCAATACATATAATATGTACTAACTTGTGCCCGCGACTTCGTCTACGCAGAATTAGTATTTAGAGTAGCTTATATTAGTGTGGCGTAGAAAAGAACTAACATTATGACATAAATATGTGTAATTAACATTTATGGCAGCGCACGCTGAAAGGTAGGTTTTTTCCTAGTTGCTTAACACTTAATGTCATATTTTGGACAGCTCACACAATATCTTTATAAATTGTAGCCTATGTGTTATTGTTATGTATAAGCTATATTATTGAAAAGTTTAATTGAAATCCATTGAGTAGTAGTTTTTGCGTGAAAGAGTATATTAGAGTATATTATAATATTAGTAGAATTTAAATAAAACGCTTCAACCCGACGTGGATCACGTGGAGACCACTAGAGAAACGGGCCGTAGTTAAAATCATTTTTAAATAGATTAAACGAATATATATCGCGTTTTAAACCGTTAAAGTGCATATACTATAGACAGGATATATGTATATCGACAAATGATTACAATCGGCAGCACTAGCGTCCGGAGTGGTCTGTGAACGTTGTAAAGAGATCGCCGTGCGGGTGTCTATAGCCGGCCACTAATAAATAATTTAAACAAATTGACGGATGAGATTTACTCATTGACTGCTTCCGTCTCTCAATTACGTACGCTTTATTTATCACTTGGTGCTGATCGACTAAGAGCCCGCCGCTGCTATATTATATGCGATACTGCAAGTGCATTATCGAAGTCAAAAATCATTCAGTTTATTCTGTATCGTCGATAATAACCACAGCAAATACTTTTTAGTGTTAAAATGAAAGACTTAAATTTACACTTATCAACAGTTTTAGAATTAAGACCGTAGTATGAACGAGAAGATCTGAGAAGGAACTCTCCGGAACGCTCCTTTACTATTCTAGTACATAAAGTACCTACACAAACCAGTCAACGGGTCGTGGTTTGGTTTTTCTCTGGTAATCTGGGTGTTGGGTGGTAGGAATATCAAAACGTTCGCGCCCCGGCCACGAACCACCGCCTTCACATGAAAAAGACGTCAAGTTTAATCGCCTTTCGGCTTGTGGATTTCCGGATGTCCAAAAGCAAAATAGGTCGACATCTAGCATCAAGTGAATCCTATACTTGTCCATTCTGCTCTATCTTAAAAAACAGTTTTTTTAAGATAGAGATAGAGAGACTACACAAAAATAAGAAACATATATTAGTCAGTAAAAATAATACTTTACTGTTACCCGTTTACCCCGCAGGGACGCGTATTAAAAATGTTTCGTTACTCAAAGCTATGAGCTACATTGACACTGAATTTTATCTATATTTAAGTACTTCCTATATTAAGTTTACACATGTAAATATAACACTTTTAACCGTTTAAATTCCGAAGCCATGGGCGATCTGCAAGCATCCAAAATCGTCAGACCGTAATTAAAAATAAGCTACATCGTCATAAACAGTACGTGGGTTAAATAAATTGACTAAACGCGTATTTGATTCTATATTTAAGGTAATTCTTATTTTTTAAATGTTCGTTTCATATTTTTCTCTTTATATTTGTAGAATTGCTGACTTTTCTAATAGAAAGATAGTGAAATCGAGTTTTCCAATTATTACAATCGCCGTAACCTTTCTATCTTCAGCCATTAAAGCGAACATGGATAGTAAACCAATTGGATTGTAACTGGGCTTCTGAGCAGATACCAGCACTCATTAGGGTAAATTTTGATATATTATGGAAGAACTAAGAAACGAAATAATACTAACAAACTATATAATTATGAGTTGAGTTTTCCGATATATTCGAAGTGTCGAGATTTAAAAAATGTAGTTACGTAAATTATTACATCATTATTGTTTCGAGGAATTGACAGTACTTAAAAAAATATTAAATACTGTTAGTATTAAATCATATATCATTGTATAAAAATGCATTTTAAAAAGAAAACATTAACCTTGCGATAGGTTTATTTTAGATATCAGTAGGAAATAATGATAAGAAGCGATATTATGTAATTTGAATTTTAAATCCGTGAAACTTTCCCGTTTAACGGTGATTTAACTTAAAAAAAAAATATTTTTATAAAAATCTTACTTTGGATTGAAAAATTTTACGACATGGGTGAAACTTGAACCGGCTTTCACAGTTCTGTTGCTCTAACCAATTGAGCTACCATGTCAACGCGAAACTCGCGCGCGCGTTGACACGGTAGCTTATTTGGCTAGATTGCCATTATGTTAAAAAAAGGTTGTCAAATGTTATTAAATATAAAATGTCTACCTAAGCTATGTTCATTGGCTGTCTATACACCTGTGACATATTTTATCGCAGAATGACTGCAAGATGAATAGGTCCTAAAACAATACCGTCCTCAAACAAGTAGTAAAACCAAACAATAAATCTCAATATAGAAATTCATTGAAAGTAAATTAATTTGAAGATTTACACCGGAAAAGTCAATAGCGTCCGATGCGAGCGTTCATTGAGTCATTTATCCTAACTATAGGCGCAATGATTAATATCCCGGATATTTTGCTTAAGGGGAGCTAATAACGACGTCACGACGGCTTCCTGGACAACGAACACCAATCATTGCTAGTGGCCATTCGATTATGGGCAATTTATGTAGTTTTTCAAGAACTGAAAGTTGGGCAACAATACTTTAATACATCACCATCTTTAATTTTTATATAAGCTATCATGAACCTGTAGTAACAATTAATTAAATCTATGTCATTTTGTTACTACAATGAAACTTTTGCAACCTCACATTTCCTCCTTCTATAGCTAATTCATCTGTTTTATATTATTTATAAATAATAATTAAGCCAATAATTAGTATAGTAACCTGTAGATAAATTTTTAGGTAAATAAAACATGGCACGAATAATAAATATGTAGTTGCTTTTGTTAATGCTTATTTTTCTATTGCCTAATGCGTATTCATTATCTAAAAATTATTTAGGCTGTTTATTAATTTATGTAATTGCGCATTTTGTCGCAGCCAATCTATGTTGTAAGTGCTACTTTGCCGCAACACTCTCACCTCACATCACTCCTACTCTAACTCCCACTCCCACGCCCACCCCCACTCTCACTCCCACCCCCACTCCCACTGCTATTCCCAAAAAGTCAAAGAAGACTTTCACAGCCCCTTTTAACTCCTTACAATTCTTCAAATTCGTTCAGTGGTTTTGGCGTGAAAGAGTAACAGACAGACAGTACTATCGGATTTATAATATATTATTATTATTATTATTATAAGTAAGATACCGATACTAACTTTTACTTACTTCTCTCTATATTTTGCGCTATGGTGCCATTTCAAATTAATATAATATAAATAGAAATACTTGATAAAATAAATAGCGCAGAATTTAACATCTAATTTAACTCTATCATTACGAAGAATAGAAGCCTAACATTTATTGCTTTCTGCTAATGAACACCTCTCTTTGGATGGAAATACAGTCAATAGCATCATTATAGAAAAGAGAAACTGAGGGGGCAATTCTCAACTAGAGTCCTAAAATAACCGCTGAGAAAGTCGAATATATTATGTTAAATTTGTATAAAACAAGTGACAGGAGTCTATGAGAATTACCCCCCGCATCGCGTTAATAAAATTTTCATACGAAACGTAATTAACCTTTGGCTGTAATTTTGTTAAGCCTTAAATCACGTTACGTGAATGTTATTATGCCTAACGGACAATTTAGCGAAATATCAAGTGTTTAACGGCTATAAAGTATAAATGTTTATGCAATAACGACGGTACGAAGGCTATCCTTAAATCTCGGCTTCGACAAATTAATTACAGTGACCTTTTTTAATTGTCGAGTTTCTTGCAAATATCGTTTTAATTGCATTCTGATCGCCATTAGGCTGCGGTCTCCTATAAATGCTGGTAGGTTTTGACGGGTTGGTCTAATGGTAGCAATATATGGCTAATGATCTATGGGTCGTGGGTTCAACATTTTTTCTTGAGACATGCTGAACTTCGT